GTGCACGCCTGTAATCCCAGCACTCGGGAGGCTGAGGCAGGAGGATCACTGTGAATTCAAGAACAGCCTGGGCTACATAGTGAGTTCCAGGTCAAAAAACAAAAACAAAAAAGAAAAACTTTTTTTTATAAAACAGTGACACATATATGCCCGTGTTTATAGCAGCACAACTCATAACAGCTAAATCTTGGAAGCAGCCTGTATGTCCATCCCATCAGCAGATGAATGGAGAAAGACACTGTGGTGTTTACACACAATGGGGTGCTACTCTGCTATGAAGAAAGATGAATGAGTCATTTGTAGGAATATGGAAGCACTGTAAGACCATAATATTAAGTAAAATAAATCAGACACACAAGTTTAAATATTGCGTGACCTCTCTTATATCTAAAACCCAAAGTACAAATACATTGAAGCACAAAATAAAAGATTATAGGAAGATGGATCTTTTGCAAACAAGAAGGGGACCAAGAGAGGAGGGAGGGAAGGAAAGGGGACTAAAAAGAATTAATACGAATTGTGAATATGTACCAATGTATTAATAAAAATAAAAATTTAAATTAAGAATAAATTCAAAGTTCAATTCTCACCCCGTTCAAAAACAACTGGGCTCACCCCATCATGTGCAGCACTTTCAGATCAGCAAAAAGAAATCAGTTACTCATGTAAGCAATCATCAAGACAGCTCGTCTAATAAGGAGAAGAAAAACAAAACAAATAAAAATTCAAAGAGAAAGAAAATCATGCCTTATATGCAGGTTACAGAGCAGAGCAGACCAAAGCAAGGTGCCAGGGAAAGTCACAATTTAAAGAAAAAGAATCCTCAGGCACCTTTGCAAGTGGGTGGCGTGGGAAGGATCAGCTGTGCTCATAAGGACTTGGCCCTTGCTGCCTGAAACAGTACATCATTAATAATAATCATGAGTTGACTCTGAAAACTACAACGGGAGAGTTGGCTGAATGGGAGGCAAGGAGCTAACCAGAAAAAGGGACTTCCCACAGAATGAGTGAAAAAAATGGTCCGTTTCTTTCTGTAGGACTGAAATTCCTCTGCAAGGATATTCTTTTGTGTTGCCTTCCTCCGCAATGGAAACAGCACCTTCTGGACAGTGTGAAACCAGCTCATCCCTGAATTTGCACTCAAAGCTGCAGTGAACAGATAAAAAGGAAGCGTTTGGTACCTGGACCACATGGGAGTATGAGGAAAAGCCTGACTCTGGCTAAATGAATTCAAGATTTTCCTGAGTCTCTTCATCCACTCCATGCAGTGGGATGTTTCCCATCACACACCTTCATGACATCTCTGCTCATCATCACTGTGGCCGGGCTCACACCCCACAACAACAGGCAGATGAACAAGAGAAAAAGCACAACACGTTCTTAATCAAAGTTGTATATGCCAGGAATTCTTCAGGAGAAGACCCAACAACTCAGGGGATACTGTTTTGTGTTTAGGTTTGACGAAATGTGGACAGCTGTGTATAAATGGGATTGGACAAAAGAGCATGATCTAATCATAATAAAGTGAGAGGGAAACAGAGCAAGAGCTCCCCTTTATGTTCTTTTGGGGCTTCTCTGTGTAGTTTTCCTTCTTCCTAGGTATAGGGCAGGGCTGTCTCTGGAATGAGGGTCACATGCGTTATCATCAGAGAAGGTGGATCAGAGAACTTCCTTGTGGCCTGATCCTACAAGGAAAGGCCACAGTGGAAGTTTTAGGTATTCTGGCTGGCTTTATTGGGAGAAAGGGTTTGAGATGCTAAGACCAATCTTAGGAGAAGAGGAATAGGAGAAAGGAGGCCGAGAGGGGGTCCAAAAGAGACCCTGCTGATGTCCTCCAGGTCAGAGTACTCAGGATGTTGATGTGCTACACCAAAGAATGTCATGTTCTGAGCCTCAACACTGCGCTATTTTCCTTCAGCCAAAGTTATTCAGAAAGCAATAATCCCCTTATTTTTACTAGAATGTTTGTGAGAATTTTTTATTGCCTTTTATCGACTTGCCAGATCATAAGTAACCCACAAAACACTCACAGATAGCCTGGAGTGCAAATCTCTCTAGGACTCTCTGCTTTCTTCTCCATCTGAGCAGCGAAAGTTCTGAAAAGATCACATATTTGGCTCCTGGTATGTTAAATATCCCACTGCTTTATGTCCTGCAGTCTCTATCATACCTATCCGATCAAATATACATGGTATGGAAGAGGAGGGAGAGGAGAATGCTGCCACCATCTGCCTTGCTTAACTGGAGGGGAAGAAGCCAAAAAGCACTTTCAGAAATGATCATGGTGCTCTCCCTCTGTGGGAGACACCATGGGAAGCATAATGGATGATACGACGAAACAGAGAGAGTCTTTAGGAGTCTCTCAACCCAGGGGGAGAGAGCAGAAATTGTAGGAAAGGGAAAATGTTCTACCCTTTGAAGTTTCGATAACTGAGTCTATGAATTACACCAACAGGACACAGATTAATGGGATAAAAACCCAACTAATTATACACATTTGCCCAGGAGCCCCACAAAATCTGAAGGAGAACCAGATGACTGGCATGTGTAGACATCCTAGGTTGGAGGGAGAAATGTGGGAGAGGTGGTGTCCAGTATGTGAGCACAGGCAGAGGGCATGGCTGGAGAACAGGTGGTCCTGCTGTGTGGATTAGGACAATGCTGGGCATATAAGCTTGTCCAATGACTCCTTCTGAAGGATGGTCAATAGCCTGCATCAAAGTCTGTGTGGACCTGGAGTTCATCTCTGGGCTTTTCTCAGGAACACAGGTTTTCTTCCTGGGTTGACGAGATTCCTGGGGAGGAGCCTCATGAACATTGAGCTCGCGTTGGTGGCTCTATCCTTATACAGGTAGGAAATTTCAGAGAAACCTCCTCCTTCAGAGGTCAGGAGAAGGTCAGAGAGAGGATTTGGCTCTCCTTTAGGTGACAGCACTAGGGTGCTAAGGTGCCACACTTTGGAGTGTAGGTTTCTAAGCTCCAGCAAATGCATCGTGGTCTACTGGAGCCTTTATTTTGAGCAAGTACACAAGAGAGTCTTAGCACCAAGGACCCTGCATTGAGAAGTGAAACATTCCCACCACTCTCAGTTGCTGTAGGGCACTATGTGTGTAGAACATGGGAGAATGTTTTAAAATCTGGAAAAGATCGCTAATATTTGAAAAGGACACACTAATTACCAGGCATGAAGTGTATTTACTTAGCATTATTGCATTTTATCCTTACAGTAGCTTGTAAGCTGTTGTTATGATTTCTATTTCACAGATTTAGAAACTCAGGCATTGAATTAAATAACGTTGCCAAGTCATACAGCTAATAAACAGTAGAGTCGAGGTGTCTTCCAGAATGTGAGTGGAGTGACCTTGTCCCCAAAAGGTCAGCAACAGTTTTGCACTGAGAATGAATTAGGAATTCATTGTGGAGGCTGCCAATTTTATTAAAAAACTTGAATCCATAATCTTAAAAAATGGAAAGGAAGGTTCTATGTACTTCTTGACAGGGTAGGTAATTTGTACAGTTATTGTTTTATTAATGAATATCTCGTTTCAGACGATCTTTTTCCTGTTATTCTTACATGCAAACCTCAAAAAACTAAAAATAGAAATTCCTCGTTTCAGACGATCTTTTTCCTGTTATTCTTACATGCAAACCTCAAAAAACTAAAAATAGAAATTCCACTTGACCCCACTATATCTCTTCTGGATATCTTCCTGAAAGAGTTAAAGATATCATATTACAGTCATCCATGTATACTCATGGTTATAGCAGCACAACAATAACAGTTAAATTATGGAAGTGGCCTACATGTCCATCAGTGGGTGAATGGATAAAGAAAACATGGTATTTATGCACAATGGAGAACTACTGTGCTATAAAAGGATAAATGAGTCATTTATAAGAAAATGGGTGTGCCTGGAGCCCATCATGCTCTGTGAAATAAATCAGATATGGAAGGCTAAATATCACATGGTTTCTTTGATCTGAGAAACCCAAAGTATAAATAATTTAAAGATAAAAATAAAAGAGAGGAGACAGGGAAGAGGGAGATAGATGTTCTGGAGATGAGACGAGAATGTACGGCTGGGGAGGTGTTAGAAAGGAAAGGGAAAGGGGAAGTGGAGATGCCATAAATATATGTATCAATTTTCATAATGAAGGTAACTATTGATTTAGAAAATAACTTGTTAGCTGTATGATACACCAAGATCATTTTTGCTAAAAATGGAAGAACAACAGAACTTACGAGTAGGAAGATATTTATTGATAGGAAAGCTCCCAAGGGCCATCAGGGGTCCTGAGTGTGTGTCTGAGGACCCCACTTTACAGAGGAGTAGCGGAACCCACACGGGTACAATGTGGGTCACAGCCATGATCATCCAATAAGGTTACAAGTGTAGTCACTTAGGTAATAGTGGTCCAATTGGGAAACATAACAAGTCACATAACAAGCATGGATGGAAAGAACAAAGATTCTCCTAGGAAGCGGTGGGTCCAGCGGTATCTGGTCACCCACCAGGGCGACTGATGTTGCTCTAGACTTCCTTAGGCCCAGTGCTTTTCCTTAGAGGTCTGGTCATCTTGTCTTTGTCTTGAGGCCTGGTTTTCAGCTAGCGCATCTCCAGTCACTGCTGTGGTGTGTTTCACCTTTGTCCTGACCTTCTCAAGGACCTAGCCCTATCTGACTGCCTATAGTATTTCTACCTAATGCAGCTGTCTATAATATTATTCAGGTATTGGGAGCATATACTCATAAAAAAGAAAAGGTGAAGGAGTACTTGTGCTTTTTCTCTGCTGCATACCTACTCTGTCTCTGTGAAAGCTTGGACATTGAGTTTGGCTGTTTTTAAGTAGCAAGTTTTGAGTTATGTGATTTCAGGATGAGGAAATATCATGAAATCAGAAGTGATGGAAAGGATTTACAAACGCAGGAAAGACCTTGGAGGAAAGAAGGGAAGAAAGCCGCTTCCGGTAAATAAGTACTACATCCGGTTTCCGGTCTCCGTGGGAGGCTGGGTGAGGAGTCGCTTGGAGACCAGCCCAGAGCACTTCTCCAGAACCACACGCCCTCTAAGCACAGGTAAGATGCGGTGTGGCCCGGCTGGGGCAGCGCTCACTGCCTAAGCAGTCTGCCCTCAAAGTAGCACAGGAGCTGCTAACGGGGAAACGCTCCTCCGGAAGTATCAGAGGGAACACTGAGGACAGTGGCCCTCTTGAGCTGATAACGCCCCCTGGGTAGCTCCGGTCCTGAAGAAAGAGTGGAGCCCTGGGCTGAAGGCTTCTTCTGAGCGGTCCTGATGTGCACACCCCCCCACCAGCTGATGGGACAATGCAGCGCCGAGGACTGGCTGACCCAATGCCCCCCCACTCCCGCGGCCTGGTGGGAACTGCAAGCAGCAGTTTATTGCCTTTCAGGGTAGCTGTTTCTCATTGTATAGATGTGCTTGAGTGGATAGATAATCAAGAGTTCTGATGCCAAAGGCTAATTTGCCCTGGCTTGGGAAACGCCTGGGTTTTTTGAAACCTACGCAGCATGCATTATATTGACAGGTTTGCATGTTTCTGGCTGATCACCAAGGTCCCCCTTCCAGGAGGATGGGAAAGTTGCCGCCTGAAGTTTTCTCACAGAGTTTACCACTGGCTCTGTAGTGGAATTGCTGCAGTGAATAATCGTCTTTCCCCCTGAAATCTTAATTGGGCTGGCAACGTATGTAATTACCAGGATGGAAGAGGAACCTGCCATGAATGGAGGACAAGTTTGGCTATTTGTGGACAGCCTCAAAAAAGTCGATTGCTAAAAGCTCCGACCACCACTGAACTCATTTGAGGAGAAGCAGCTTTTGCTGTTCTTCAGCCTGCCTGGCTTTCAAAACTCAGTGCTTTCAGACCTCAGAAATAGGAATTTTTAGAAAGTGAATGCTTGCTCTTTAGGGAGGTTTTAATCTCTCTTTCAAATGCGCTTATTGAAGTTCAAAGCCTTTAAGTCTGTCAATGGTTACAAACCGATATACTGCAACACTTCAATTTGCAAAGATTTTTTTTTGGGGGGGTTCCTATTTCTTACTTTATTTTTAAAACTTTCTCTTAAGGGGGAAAAAAAAAAGAGCTTCACAGGGAGAGCCTACAAGGGGTAAATTATAAAGATCTCCTGTGAACATCAGGACTACATAGACTCAAGTGTAATTGCCACCTTAGTAGGAAAATAAGAGTATTTATTTTTTACCTTTTCACCAAAAGAGTATGCACTCCTGGAAGTTCACAGAAGGTCAGTGGCAGAACCAAACCTCTACTTTATGGAAACTACCAAAGCTAAATTACACATATCTTTAAGAGCCTGCTGATTGCTAAGCAAAGGCTTCTTTACAAATACCACTTTCCAGTTCAACCTCAGAGAAGCCTCAAGTCATGTCAGATCCTTGCAAATAATAACGAGCTTCTTATTTTCTCCTCTGGCTTCTGACTGGATGGAAGCTGAAGAAGGTCTGATGTTCCAAAATAAGGCTATGAGATTTGGATCTCCGGAAATGGGTGAGCTAGATTCTTCGTGCAGGTACGGCCCCTCCTAAGAATATATTACACGGTTGACATGCAAGCAAATCTGTGCAAATAAGTTGGAACTATCATGGACTACACACACACACACACAGAGTCATGTGTTTAAGTCCTGATGAATAGGAAGTGGCCATGATGTATAAAGCAGTGTGAGAGAGCTGAATGTTCCTAATTAGCAAAGATCAAAATTATGAAAGAGAAGAGTTTACTTCTAATACCCATTTTTTGGCTCTTTTCTCTGTGGCCAGTGTTTTTACTAACATGCAGTCCACTCTCCCCTACAATTGTGTGTTTGAGAAACGTGTTTGCAGTTTGCATTTGCTTAGCTTGGCTTTTGCTTGTTAGTTGAATGTACTCGATGATACTGAGGTCATTATTCATTTATCCAGCCCCCAGAGCCAACCCAGAGGTAAGTGGGGACCTCGTGAATCTTCTTTGGATGAGAGTGTTGAGACAGCCTCCCCTCTTGTGATGAACCTAACATGGTCTGCGCCTTGCTGAGTTGATTGGCTTTCTGAGGTCTTCTTAAGAAGGTAGTTTGCATCCATTTTCCTAAGAATGACTCTAGTTTCTCATTCTTTATGGCTGAGTACTACTCCATTTTATAGAAAAACCACATCTTCTTTATCCAGTCTCCAACTGATGGGCAATTGGGCTGTTTCCAAGTTTTAGCTATTACAAACTGTGCCGGGATAAACATGGGTACACATGTATCACTGTGGTATGATTCCTTTAATTATTCTGGATGCAATTGAGGCCATACTCTTAAGTGAAATAAATAAGTCGCACATGTGTAAGTACTGAATGGTTTCTCTGGTGTGAAAAACTAAAAGTGTAATAAGATCCAAATTGTATAACTGATAATGTGAAATAGGAAGCAAAGGGCTAAAGGTGTAGGGGAAGTGGGAAGGGTAAGGGAAAGGAAATAAGGGACAAGAAAAAATATGAGAAATGGAAAAAAGTCTTTGTAAATAGGGGAGGTTGGAGGGAGTGAAGGGAGGACAGGGGATGGGGAAAAAATGAGAACCAAGACCTGTCATGTAAAGGTACAAGATCCCAATGATGAATGGAACTATACTGTATACCTAAAATGTACCAATAAACTCAGTAAGATTCATAGGAAAATGGATACATATTGAAGATATACTCCTAAGTGAAATAAATAAGGCACACATGTGTAAATACCAAATAGTTTCCCTGGTGTGAATAATCTGCAATAATACAGATGATCCTAATAAGATTACTGACATTGAGAAATGGGAAGAAAGGAGCTAAAGGTGTAGGGAAGGTGGGATGGGTAGGGGAAGGGTAAAAAGGGAAAAGGAAAAAAATGTGAGAGAATAAAAAGATGGAAATAAAGTGGTTGTAGATGGGGAGGGGAGAAGGGGGTGAAGGGAGGGCAGGGACAAGGGGAAAAAATGAGAACCAAGACTTGTCATGTACAGGTACAAGATCCCAACAATGAATGTAACTGTACTGTATCCCTAAAATGTACCAATAGACTCAATTAAAACTGGAAAAAAAAAAAAAAGAGCCGGTTGTGGTGGCGCATGCCTGTAATCCCAGCATTTGGGAGGCTCAGGCAGGAGGATCACTATGAGTTCAACACCAGTCTGGGCTACATAGTGAGTTCCAGGTCAGTCTCAACTACATAGTAAGGTCCTGTCTCAAAAAAAAGAAAAAGAGGATAGTTTATGTTAAGGGGGAATAAGATGATCCTCAGAGTCTTTTAAATTCTTGAAAATGTAAACTGCCAAGAAATCCTGTCCCTCACATTTTGGATGAATGATAGATCTGGTGGAACTGGTTTTGTTTGTTTATTTGTTTTTCTTTGTTTTGTAACAGTGCTTGGAAGAGTTAAGTGTGTTTTCTTTAAATTTCTATTTTAATACCAGGAAACACTTTCTTCTCTGAAAGGTCGTAACTCAGTATTTCTTCAGTGCCAAAAGAACATATGTAACATGAAAAGCCTCGTTAAAGAGGTTTCTGTCTTTGCTAAGGTGACAATGATGATGATAATAATTATGACTGTTACTTGTTTCATTTGCATGGAATTTAATAGTTTCTAAAGTACTTTCATATATATTATTTCATGGTATAACATAACCAAACCCTTGCATAATGCACAGTGAGCTGTATGTCAAGGCAGCCCATGGATTATTGGAAGCTGCAGACCAGATGTTAGGAGTGGTAGAGAGGCATTTCTTGGCAGAGCACAGGAAAGTTCAAACTTTTGTATAGACTAAAATGGCAAAAGAATGAGAAGAACATGGACTAGCTTTGTTGAAGAAGCCTCTAGACAGGATCAGGGTTAGCAGAGGCGTGAAGACTTGCTCTGGGCTCACAGTGGCTTGGATGCAAGCAAGATGGGTATTGCTGTGTGTCATCCATACTCAAGCACAGAAGCTCCCGTATTTGGCAGCTTTTCACTTGTGGACTCCTCATCGATTTGTAAACAGATCTGCTTGTGGAATGAGATTTCCTCCTTTGTTCTATCTCTGCCCATTTCATTCACTGGTTCTTGAGCATTTCATGGATCCGTCCATTCACCCATCCTCCTCTGGCATGGAACCACTGTGCCGTGCACTCTGCCTGGTGTCGGACAAGTTGTTGACCCCATGAAGGGTCAGACAAGAAAATAACCAAACTTATGAAGAGTGTCCTGAAGGACATGGATGGGCCAGTGACACGGAGACTCAAAACCTACTTTTGAGAGCACCGATCTCCAGAGCACACTCTGTAAAGGAAGTCTTCAAGGCTGTCTTACGGAAAACACATTTCTTTGACGAACTCTCGAATTGCTCTTTCATAGCAAGACCAAATGGTCCTGATAAATAGTGACGAGGAGAAAAACAACAAACAGAATTACATGTTTTTAATATAAGGCAGATAAGATGCATGTGCAGACAAAATTGTGGATATTGGTGTTAGAAACATGCCCTCTGTGAATGACCCATTTGATTTTTGAGAAAAAAATTCTGCTAAATACCCTGATAAGTTTATTTAATTCTGTACCACTTTTGAAATACTGTATGTTGAATAAGCCTGTGCCAGTTTGAAATATATCTTGATCTCTGTTCTCTTTGACTTATTTCTTTCTGTTGTGCAAAATGAGCTTGGGGACTCCACACTAGGCTACAGCTCCAATCTTTTTCAATCTTTTTTATTTTGAGACAGGATCTCTTTTAAGTTGCTAAGGTGCACAGGCTGGACCCCAACTTGCAATCTCCATGCCTGAGCTTCTTAGAGAGGTTTGTATTTGAGGTCCTGTCAAAGCACTGTGATCATCAGGCCTCCTCACGGGCCATGTGATGAATTGATGCAGATATTTTAGGCTGCAACTTCTATCTGTTTCATGTAAAGCAAAAGCTAGCGCAATGTCCCTTGTTAATACAAACCAATGAGACGACGTCATGGTTCCAAGGAGTGAACCTGAGTGATTGCTGACACATTTCTCATTTTATCAAAGTGACCTGAATTTCGGATATGTATAAAAGTGGAGATAAAACAATCTGTGACTTACAGTGGATGCATCAGGGAAGGAAAGGGATGGATCCTTGAGTGAAAACCGTGGCAGAAGAACAAACGCTAGGTGAGTAAAAGCAAACAGGTGAGGAGAAACTCAGCTCACATGTCACAAATCTCTTGTCCCGTGCTTGAGCAGTGTCTCTCATCAAGTGTAGAATTCTTTTCCTGAACTCGGAGAGTCTGTAGCACCTCTGTAACACCCAGCAGGGTCATCCGGGGGCCCAGCTTCTTTGCCACGGTCAGCATGGGTACATTGCTCACACAGATCTTTGTATTTTAGCAATCTTTAAAGTCACCTGCACTTGAAACGGTGATATCAGAACTGGGAGCAACAACCTAGGAGAGAGGGGATGGTATTCTGGAATTGGGAGTCTCACCTCTCACATCCGGTCTCTAGCCCCGGGGAGCAGTTCTTGGCTAACACAGAGCGTAGTCACGGAGAGGAGTTTATGAAGATCACAGAGAGTTGGTGGTGATTATTCTTCTGAAAAGAATTTGCTTCTTTGAAAGGCATAGCAGGTAGAAGACTCTTAGGATGATAAAATTCCCTGGGGTCTATCCAGTCTGCTATCTGCTGCACCAGAAAGGGGGCCCAGTGCCTTATCTTTGCAACTTTTCAGTTCATAGTTTAATTGTGGTGACCTTGGAGGGATGGGGGGTGGAAAACTGTCTATGAAATCATCATGTACCAGCTCACATTCATCCAATTCAGCAAGCATTTAAATCCCTTACTGTGCGTCTTGGATTATTGCCTATAAATGTTGAATGAACAGTTTCAGTTCATCTCTTTTCCTTACAAAATGGGAACAAGAGACACACACACACACATAAGACAGAGAGACAAAGACAGAGAGACACAGAGAGAGAGGACTGATGGCTATTTTACCTCAGAAAAAGTTAAAATACTGTTTTACGGTCTTCTGAAATTATTTGAAATGAAGAAATAAGGAAAAAATAAAATGTAGAGATGATGTAATTTGCTCAATAGGTTTTTACTATTCAACTCTAAAAGTTAATCTCTATTTTAGAGGTTATTATTTCTCTCGACTCCATTCTGTGCTCAAGATATTAAACCTAAAATAGAAATATGATGGTGAGGTGTGCCGTTTCGATCCATGCTATCCTAGCAACATTTGGGACGAGGCAGAGAATGGAAGCATTAAGGGTTACAACTCAGGAGCTGGGGTGACCTCTTACAAATTCAGAGTCAGTCAAGTCAACTCAAGAGTTCCAAGATGTCCTCAGATGACTCTAGCGGGCCCCCTTCTTTATTACTTATTCATTATTCATTTTTGCAGTATAATTAGGGTATAGTAATGTAAGCACAGGCAGTGGTAGGAGAAAACATTCTGTTATTAAAGATTAGCCTTTTTTCTTTTTTAAGAGTAGGAAACACTTGTTGAGGGGAAGAAAGCTTCTTTCTAAGAGAGACAGAACACGGACCAGAAAGCAGGTTGCCCACCCACCCCGCTTCTCAAATATGTTTTATACAGCAAAGCCATGTGGTGAGGTGGGTACAAAGTGGGACAAAACTATAAGACCCAGTGGAAAGTTAGTAGGTGGGCATGAGGTGGAACGAAACCATGACCAACCAATAGGATTACAAGTACAGTCACCCAGGAAGCACTGATTAAATGGGGGTCAAATGGGGAGCAAGTCATGTAGCAAGTGTACAAGGATTTTCAGTAAGGGTGTGTGTGGGTCAGGGATATTTCCTGGGAAGCCTGGGTTAAGACCTTGGCCTTTCACCCAGGTGATTGATACCTATTTAGAATATCAATTACTTCTATTTTCCCTCAGGGAAGCACAAGGATATAGTAGTTTCTCTCCTTTTACAATTATGGCCACAGTGAATGTGCCTTGATTGTCCTCCATGTTGGCTTCTTGAGGGCGGTCCTGTCTAACTGCCTACAAGATATCTAATTAACTTACCTATCTGCAATGTTCCCCCCTTTGAAGAAGTACCTCTAACTGCTATGAGGGGGCAAAGGGGGAAGATAGCTCTGGCTACTTGCAGCTGAAGAGGGTCGCAGTTGTGATCAACAGTTAGAGTTACTCTACAGAGAGTCTACCTAAAGGTCTTAGTTGGTGCCAGGCATTGTTATCTTGGTAGCTGCGTAGCTTTTAAGTCTGGAGGAGACAAAACCAAAGAAATAGTGAAGAATGCATTGGGCAAATTATAAGGTCAGCAGGATTGTTATGAACATAGCCCACAAAGAGGATAAGGAGAAGGTCCAGGGGACTTCAGCGTCAAGCATAGAAGTCATATTGTATAGTTTAGCAGTTATAAGCTGTTTATAAGGTTGACCTTGTAGATCCCGGTAAAATAAGTCTAGCACATTTGTCATTGGTTCCATTTGTGTGGCTGCTTGGAGTTTGGCAGCCTCTAGGCAAGAATAAACAAAACTTTTAAGAAATTAGAGTGTGTATAATTAAGCACGAGCACACTAGAATGAAAGGGCAGGTTGAGGAGAAAGTCACACTTAGAAATTGAAATAGTGATTGAACCTGCTGGACTTAGATTCTTTCATTGATAGGTTATCTATAAGTCTGATACTTTGTCATAAGGCTCTCTAGTTTTAGCTATAAGAAGATAAACAATTTGAAGAACAAATTTCACTAAAAAATAGATGTCTAGCTGAACTCTTATAGATTTTACCATAGTTTTTTCCTAATGATCCATAACCATGGCCAGCTACTGGTAGAGCTGGAAACTGCCAGAAGGGGTCAATGACTGGAGCCCCTTTTTATATCTAGCTTTATTAGTGTGGCATTATTTTTTATTCTTTTCTTCTGCATGTTTAAGATGAGGTTAAAGTGAGACCTGCGTCAGTCAACACGAACCTCTTGCTATCTATTATCAAGGTCAGTTAAGTCTCTTCATGTATTACTTTGGAACCATGCATAGAGCCTCTCAGCTCCTCTGTCAGTGTCAGCTGTTGGGATGTGTCATGGCCTTGCTTGACCACATTGCTTTCAGTGAAAGCACGGGAGACTTTTCCCTCTTGATGACCCTCATTTGGCACACAGTGTACTTGTCATCTAGTACCCAGCAATCTCCCTGCTTGGGAGGGTGAGTGACTTACCAAAGGTAGAGAAGTTTCCCACATGTCCTGGATCTTATAGACCTTGAGAAGCCAGGGTCAAAATACTGGCCGTCCTCATATCCCAGTTACCTTTCTAGTTCTGGTCTCCAAGCCTTAATTGGTGAACAACCAGAAGAGAAGATCAGTGACATTAGAAGTGCAGTAGGAGCAGTGAGCTTAACTGTTATAATTCTGTCTGGCCATTAAGCACTTTGAAATATAAAGCAGTTAGTGGGCTTTTATTTCTTATCAGCCATGGTTGTTTTAGTAGTTTAATCCTTGCAAAATGTTAACAGAAAACAGTTATATAGTGTAGAAACTTCAGATCAAGAGCCACATATAGTATATTAGCATGACAATCATGATGACATTTTCTTTGTAACAATGTCCATCTTAGTATGGAATAATCTTTCAGTCAAACACCTCCATCTGATCACGACATTAAATGACATAAAGAAAATTCTTACTTGTTATTTGTTATCCTTTAGTAGGATGCCATATAAAGAGAATATAAATATTGACCTATAAATGTACCTTAGGAGTTCATAATGTCTAATCTCTAATTTTAGTGTGTGCCATTGCTTCAGCTGTTGGGTGACAGGTATCTCTTATCAAGTAGCTGAAGCACAAGAGAAAGGCAGATACCCGAGTCAAAAATATCATTACCATAAATATCCTAGAAGACTTGTATACCTAGAAGGCATGAATATATATATATACCATGAAATAACAATGAGTAGTAATTACATGAAACCCTTTGTCCTTTAATTTTGTCTTGTACCAAGACCATTTTAAATAAAACCTTATTGTTTTCCCATAGAAAATTTAGCCATTTGACTATGGCCAATGTATACATATCACAATAATATGTTTAGCAATTATTTCCCACAAGGCTTTGGAAATTACTGGGGTCCCTTTGTGAACAAAGGCTGGAATAAATTTTTCCAGGCAGCCACTCCTTTATTTACCAAGGGGATGTCCAGTAGTTTCCCTAAGCCCATGAATCTTTTTTTAAAATTATCTTAACAAATTTTCAGATAACCTATGAAAGCCAGATCATAACAATTAACAAATTATTTTTTTACCAATGAAAGATTCCTGAGTTATTATATATAGACAATATGTACTGTATTTGAAAAACCAGTTGACATTATTTGGATCATCTGGCAACCTGGGGGAAATATATCTTTAGTGACATTTATCTATAAGCAAACCTAAGTTATAGGCAAGCATCTTTAAAAATCCAAAATGACAAAAGAAAAAAACAACTCAAAACAGCTGTACATGTTATAACAAATTGGACAGGCACACATACACATAAGACAACTTTTTTATAAACCAAAGTACACTCAGATATATTTGGCCAAGTTGAATTATAGTAACTTTTATAATTTTTAGGTTTATAATTATAAAAAGACTTGTCAGAACTTTGTGGATCAACTAACAGAGATCGCTTGTAATAAGAATCAAAAGGAATAAAAATCTTCTACACCTGTGAAAGCAAAAACAATTTTAAGATGGGCCCTAAGCTGACAGTTTATCTGACTGGAATACCCAGCTACATAGGCTTTGAGAGTTTCAGGATTAAGCCTAGATCAGTTTTCTGTATGGCCCAGAAATAAGTGAAGGTCAGCTTTACTCTGGAAGAGTTCTAGGAAAGGCAAACTCACCATTCTGGAAGCTTTGTTTTGAAATCCAGCAGCCACAGAGAAGTGAAGTGCCTCAAATTAAATACTGTTGAGAACTGCATTGTTTCTCAGGGGTAGGAGTAGTGGAGAAGGGACATAAGAGTGTCTTTAAGAACTAAATCTTAGCCATCTCAGATATAGAAGGAGAATTAAAATCAGAGTTTTTCCAGAATGGATCTGCAATCCTTAGCAAAACATATCTCTAGAGACAAAGGCTATGACTGACTCCAGTTGCGTAGCCAAGCAGAAAATTAAGCCAATAGTCAAAGAACCTCAACAGCTGCTTTTTG